AAGGTGAGAATAAACAGTACAGTACACTGGTATCTGAACGGTTCCAAAGGCAAAAACATAGAAATAGATCAAAATGGACGAACAGAATTATATGTAGCATATATTAATTTAAATTATATGCAGTATAGATGTGTGTACACAGATGTGTGTGTCTGTATATAAACATAAAATAACGGTTTGGGTGGGAAGGGACCTTTCCAGCCCACCTCGCCCAACCCCCTGCAGGGAGCAGGGACATCTGCAGCTAGAGCAGGTTGCTCAGAGCCCCGGCCAACCTCACCTGGGATGGTTCCAGGGATGGGGCATCAACCCCCTCTCTGGGCAACCTGGGACAGGGGTCTCCACCCTCAGATAAAAAAAAATGTATAAACATATCTGGCCCGGGCCACCCCCCGGAGGGACCCAGTGCCTCCATGGCCACCACATTAGCAGGCAGGGCTGTGAGCAAGTATTTGGTGTTTCTGGAAAGGGGGTGAGTGCAGGTGGCTGCAAGGGGCTCAGCAAGTGCTCAGCCCTCAGCCCATGACCCAAAGCTCAACCCCAGGCTCCCCCCAAGGAGAAAACATTCATTACCTTTTAATCTGCCTCTGTTTTTCTGAAGAAATAGGTCTTTTGTGTATCCTGTGTATCTAAAGTGGCCCTGAATAAAAGCCTGGTTGAGACTTGTCCTTAAAAGCCTCTAGAAGTCAGCAGAAAATAAAAAAGGCAAGAGTCCAGTTTGTGACAGTCTGTTTTGAAATAATACACACCAGCCTGTTGTCCTGACCTGAAGGGTGTAGAAACGGGAGTGCCCTTACCTCCAATCCCCTGCCCTCGTGAGGTGTGGGTGCTGCAGGGAGACACGAGGGAGACACGAGGCCACAGCACCCACGCGGGCAGAGGCCAGTACAGCAGAGCACCCGCCTGTCACCGCAGCCTTCACCTTGGTGAAGCACTCACGTTTGTCTGGAAGATTGGTTGAGCCTTTTTTTCACCCTAGACCTTTTTCCTCACTTTTTGCCTCTGTTTCATTGCCAGACCAATTAACAACAATTAACCAGTTAACACAACTCTGCTCAATGCCTCCATGGGAGAGGCAGCCTCTGGCTGTTCCCAGGCACTACAGGGCCATGCAAAGTTGTCTGAAGCACCAGCAGGTACTTTCATGGCCAGAATGAAAAAACCCTCTGCTGTTCTCATCAGACATTGCTGTGCCGTGGTTGATCCCACCCGAGCTGTGGTCCCCGCTCTGACGTGTTTGCACTGTCACCTGTAACAACCCCTTGAGGATCACCCAATCTGGCAAGGCAGCCTGCAGAGACCAGCACTTCCCGTCAGCTCGCCAGACCACAGCACAGAGCTCTCTGCTCTGCTGGTTACAAAACACCCACCTGGATTGCACTCAGGGCTCTATTTTACACAGCACCACAGCTTCTCAGGAGGGCATGGTAGGGCTTTTTCCACCAAGGCATTTAAAATAAAATAATTGATTTAAATACAACACTGCAGTCAGTTTTGTAGGCTTCTGACATCCATGGAGTGTCCCCGTTGTCCTCCTGCAGCTCTTCCGCCCGTGGCAATCAGGCCACTTTCAAATCAGAACCACTTGCAGTCATCTTTTCCAGCTTTGTTTTTAATCATAGGATTTCCAGGCGGGTAGAGAAAGGAGCAATGAAAACATAAAAAGGAAGAAGGTGCAGCCTGGTTATGTAAGAGCAGTTCTCTCATTCCAGAACCCCCCACCCCTGACCTGGATCAGGCGCCCACGTCTGCGGAACCCCAGCACAGCACACCCACAGCTCCGCTGAGGAGCTGCTCAAGTTTTCACTGTTGCATCCATTTGGATGACTCAGAAGGGCATAAAACCCACACAGCAGCTTTCCTGTTCGCACGTGCCGAGGGCTCAGCTCCACCAGCCGAGCAGCAGATGCCAGGCGAGGCTCCTCCATGTGCCGTGTGGGTGCTGCAGCAGCACCACCCGGGAGGCCCCCGCCCGGGACCGGACCCCGCAGGAGCTGGGTGCTGGCACAACACCGACTCTCACCTGGCGTGGGCAGGAGCTCAGGGACAGTCCAACGCTTTCTCCAGTCGAGGGCAGGTCTCCATTACCCAACCTTGTCCCTTGCAGGCCACAAAGCACTCAACTCCCCTTCCACAGCCCCCTCCGTCAGGATGGGCGGCCAGCGCTACCTGGGACAAATCCTGCTGCCCCACCCTTCCAAGCGGGGTAGTGCAAGATCACCCAGGTCCCCCTGAGGTCAGGGATCAGCTGAAACCACTACTCCAGCTCCCCCCACATCCCCTCCCAGCTATTTTTGGGTTGTCACACCTCAGCCTCCCCTTTCGTATCCCGTGCAGTGCCGCTTGACTGCACACGAGCTCCCACAATGGCCTCCACACCTCAGGAACTTCCCTCTTACCTGGTGTTTTTCCACCCCACAGGACCTGCTCCAGGACATCTCAGCTCACCTGGATTAAAGCATATTCCACCACAAAAAAAGCTCACGCATCTGAAATAGCAAAGTCTGCTTAATAAGCTCATGCATCTGAAATTACAAAGTCTGCTTAATAAGCTCATACATCTAAAATTACAAAGTCTGCTTAATAAGTTTCAGCTTTTCAAAAAAGGTCTACTCTGTAAGTGGATGATGAAACACACACTAGCCAGTAAACTCCCCAAGTCCCAGGAGTGCAGGATCAGCAGAGGCCCCACGCCCACCCAGCACGGGTGCCTGCCAGAGCAGGGTGCTGCCCGAGAGGAACTGCAGGATCATCCTTCGCTGTTACTGCACCACTGCAAGCGCACCAGGGGCGGGACCTGGCAACTGCTGGGCAAGGAGAGGTTCCCCGAGCCTGCCAGTGCCACCAGCACGGCGGGATCCCATCGCACACACGTGCTTGCACCGCCCCAGCAGCTGCTAGCTGGCACTGAACTTCAGCCAGTTATGAAAACACTTACAAAACCCCAGGAGAACCACAGCTCGATTCGTCACGCTACCCAGGCGTGAGCAAACCTTGTGTAAGGCCATTGTGCAACACCTCAGGTGAAGAAGCTGCGTAATTACAGTTTATTAGACAGCTCGGCTGGGTTAACGGTGTAAAGAGTTGTTTACAGAACTTGAGACACCAACAATTGTGGATGCAACAGCTTTATTGGAATGAACAAGTGCAGAGAAGCTTTTACTTGCAAGCAAGCAACAACTGGCCAGTTCAGTTACCACCTCTCAGACGCAGCACAAGATGGAGAGTGGACTCCTTCTGGATGTTGTAGTCGGACAGGGTGCGTCCATCTTCCAGCTGCTTGCCAGCAAAGATCAGCCTCTGCTGATCGGGGGGGATACCTTCCTTGTCCTGGATCTTAGCCTTCACATTCTCAATGGTGTCACTGGGCTCAACTTCCAGGGTGATTGTCTTGCCAGTCAGGGTCTTCACAAAGATCTGCATGCCACCTCTCAGGCGCAGCACAAGATGGAGAGTGGACTCCTTCTGGATGTTGTAGTCGGACAGGGTGCGTCCATCTTCCAGCTGCTTGCCAGCAAAGATCAGCCTCTGCTGATCGGGGGGGATACCTTCCTTGTCCTGGATCTTGGCCTTCACATTCTCGATGGTGTCACTGGGCTCAACTTCCAGGGTGATTGTCTTGCCAGTCAGGGTTTTCACAAAGATCTGCATGCCACCTCTCAGGCGCAGCACCAAGTGCAGGGTGGATTCCTTCTGGATGTTGTAGTCGGACAGGGTGCGTCCATCTTCCAGCTGCTTGCCAGCAAAGATCAGCCTCTGCTGATCGGGGGGGATACCTTCCTTGTCCTGGATCTTGGCCTTCACATTCTCGATGGTGTCACTGGGCTCAACTTCCAGGGTAATGGTCTTACCAGTTAGGGTCTTCACGAAGATCTGCATTTTTCTCTGGAAGGAGAGAGATCACTGTACTTTAGGCCCTTTCCCCGTCCCTCCCATGGCGGGGGGCAGCAGGACCCAGCGGCAAGCGCCGGCCCTGCCCACGCCCTGTGACGCCACAGCGGAGGC